TTCACAATCCGCCCCGGACGGGAAGTGGCACCCTGTAGCATTCTATTCCAAAAGCTTAAATGATGTCCAGCGCAACTACGAAATCCACGACAAGGAGATGCTCGCGATCATCCGCGCACTCGAGGAGTATAGACACTTCCTCGAGGGTGCCGCGCATCCTGTCGAGATTTGGACTGACCATAAGAATTTGGAGTACTTCAGGAAGACGCAGCACCTCAACCGGAGACAGGCCCGCTGGTCCCTCTACCTCTCCCGGTTCGACTTCACGCTGCACCACAAGCCCGGTCGCGACATGGGCCGACCTGACGCCCTCTCTCGGAGACCCGACCACGGAATCGATTCCGACAACTCCGACGTCGTCCTTCTGCGGCCCGAACTCTTCCACGTCCGCGCACTCGAGGGTGTTTCCGTTTCCGGTCCCAGCTGGAACACCTGGTGCAATGCGCAACATCTTGGTTATAACCCAAAAGTGCAATGCACAACATATGGGATCTAACCCAGTCTCCTTCAACGCAAGAATTACTTTATTTCACTTTTATCTTTTTTAACTGTTTTGGTGTCTTATATCATATATATAGTGATGGGATCAATGTTCCTTGTATAATCTATTGTGTGTGGAACCATTTTTGCAAGAGATCACTGATTTTGATGACTGTGTGATCTTGCATCACTCCCACTTAATTTAATATTGATAGTCTCTTTCCGCTCTATTAAGTCCATAATATTACATATCGAATCATCGGCCTGAAGAAAAGGTGATTTACCTTCTCATATATGATCTTATATTAGTCATATCATCTTCCCTTAATATAATATATCAAGATATAAGAATAGCCCACATGTTGTGCATTGCACTTTTGGGCTATAACCCAGATGCTGCACATTGCACTAGCTGCGAGAGGTGCCGGTCCCGGTTCTGAACTTCTTCGCGACATTCGCGATGCCCTCTCCGGTGAGCCTGACCTGGAGGAGCCCGTCGCACTAGCGGCCCGGCAACTCCTAAAGGTCCAAGGTCAAGCTCGAGGCCCCCGCTCCTCACGCTCCGACGAGTGGGCCGTCTCCGGTGGTCTTCTCCACTTCCGTGGGAAGATTGTCGTGCCCAAGGACAAGGACCTCCGGAGGCGCATCATCGAGCTCTGCCATGACACTCGAGTCGCCGGACATGCCGGTCGCTTCAAGACCTTGGAGTTGGTCTCCCGGAACTACTGGTGGCCTCAGATGTCTCGCCATATCGGCCGGTACGTCGCGACCTGCGACTTGTGCTGTCGCACCAAGGCGCTCCGGAGACTGCCCCACGGAGAGCTACACCCGACGGAAACACCCCCGGAGCGCTGGCATACCGTCTCCGTCGACTTCATTGTCGAGCTCCCCGAGGCCCATGGGTACGACGCGATCATGGTCGTCGTGGACACCCTTGGGAAGCGAGCCCACTTCTCCGAGTGCCATACCACGGTCGATGCAGTAGGAGCAGCCCGCCTCTACTACCGGAATGTCTGGCGCCATCACGGGACTCCGGAGAAGTACGTCTCCGACCGTGGCTCACAGTTCATCGCGGACTTCACCCGAGAACTCTGGCGTCTAATCGGCATCAAGCCAGCCACGTCCACCGCGTATCATCCGCAAACGGACGGTCAGACAGAGCGCGTCAACCAGGAGTTGGAGCAGTACTTGCGGATCTTCACCAACTATCAGCAGGACGACTGGGATGAGCCGATTCCGGCCGCGGAGTTCGCCTACAACAACCATGTTCACTCCTCCACGCAGCAGGTCCCCTTCATGACGGACACGGGACGGCTTCCGCGCATGGGCTTTGAACCCGGAGCCCGTTCCGCTATGGAGTCTGTGAACGAGTTCCGCGACCGAATTGCCACTGGGGTTGCCGAAGCCAAGGCCGCGCTCACTAAGGCCAAGGAAGAGTATAAGCGCTACTACGACCGGAGACGCACTCCGTCTCCGGAGTTCAAGGTTGGCGACCGTGTTTGGCTGGATGCCTCTGACATCAGGACGACTCGCCCCTCGGAGAAGTTCTCCCACCGCCGCCTCGGTCCGTTCAAGATAGTCGCAGAGATCAGCAAAGGTGCCTACAAGCTCGACCTCCCTCCGCGCTACTCGAAGCTCCACCCGGTCTTCCCCGTCGTCAAGCTTGAGCTCGCCCAAGACGACCCCTTCGACGGACGACCCGGCTACGACCAGCCCCCTCCGGACCTCGAGGACGGAGTCCCGGAGTGGGAAGTAGAGGAGATCTTGGACGCAAGGGTGAGGTATAAACGGCTGAATTACTTCGTCAGATGGAAAGGCTACAACGCGTCGCACGACCAGTGGGTCCGCTTCGACCGCGTCTTCGCCCCGGAGAAAATCGCGGAGTTCTACCGTAAGTACCCTGGCAAACCACGGCACATCGCCTCCGCAACCTTCGACTCGATTCCGTTCCGGTCTATGCGTCGGGACGCCGCATTCAAAGGGGGGGGGTGATGTCAGGGGAACCTCCCTTTCGGCCCCTCGGAGACGATCCCGATTCCGGTCCGACTCCGGTTCCGACTCCGGTGATCGCATCACCGCCTCCGTCAGGCGCATCGCCGCCCCCGCCTGGCGATCCCCCTGGGACCTGGCCTGCGACATGGCGCAGGCATACTGCACGGAGCAACGATCAACCTTGGCGCGTCAAGAGCGCAGTATATAGTTCCGCTACCTAGCAGGCGGACCCTTAGAGTTTCTTCTCTTTGGATCCTCCCCTGCTAGGTCAGCCTCACTTGTATTTGCTTACTTCTATTCACTCTTTGGATCCTCCCCTGCTAGGACCTTGATCTCAGGCCTCCGGGGTTGCCCTTACAACAGACAGGGCAGAGAGCAGCACCTGACTTGGGTAAAAACAGCCCCGAAAATGGGGATGAAAATCAAGGAGTGATTTGCAAAAACAGCTATGGAGCTGTTTTTGCATGGTTTCAAAATTTCGCAAATCTTATTTTTGGACACGAAATTAGGAAGAAAATCTACTCAAAAACACGTTGAAAACGGACGTGTGAAACACCCTAAAAAAATCACTCCTTACTATTACTAGTATAGTAAAATTTTAGGCAGATTCCATGTCCATGCGTTACTGGCAGACCACCCTAATAGAGTAAAGTGCATGGAATTCCTTTAGGCACAACACTTTTTGCGTCTTGGGTATATGCTACATAAGGATCCTGATGCTTTCAGTTTAGTACATCTTAAGGCTGGCAGATTTGAAACTATATGCAATAGCTAAGAGTATTATATTAGAAACTTCTAAAGCTTTTATCCTATGATAAGCTTAAGTTTTTAAAATACTAGATAACTCAGTTATCCAAAGCAAACCACAGTGCATGCATTACCAGATAGCAAGAGAAAGCAATATTCTAACTTTTGCAAGGATTGCAGAGCAAGCAATTTAAGGTGCAAGTCTTATTTACAACTGTAGAAAGCATAGTTTACATGGATTCTTAACATAAGTTGCTCTCTAGACTTATTATACAGGCTCTTATAGATAGCAAGGAATTAACTGTAAAACCTATAGATGTGATGTCCTTTATGTAGCTCTTGCAGTCTTTAGAGGCTGCTAAGTTAGAGTATGGTGTAAAATATAGCCTATATGTATTTTTCAAGTAAGTTACTGCCCAGACTTATTATATCTGCTTGTGTTGTTTGAATTCCTGTGATCAAGGGTGCTATTATATATTTTTAATTTTTGCTTGTACATTTGAGATTATATAGATAAAATACTAAACTTCAATATTTGATGCACTATCAGATCAGGACAGTGGGCACGAGGTTGGACAGGGTTGACATCATAGCTAGGAAAAGGTTTAATAAGTGGTGGAAAGGACTACTAACTGCTAGTGGACTTGGCCCTAGTGCTGCCAAATGCATAATAATAATATAATAATACTGTATGGTCCTTATCAGTATAATATATCTATAATATAATATAATGATAATAATGTGAGTATTATATCATAAATTTTATGATAATATTTCATAATAAATATTATCCTGCTTCAACAAGTTTTTAACATTTTCAACCCGGTTTTGCAGCATATAATTCAGTAGCAATATTGTGTGATGCTCTATACCTCTCTTAGATTGTGTTTAAGAAGGACCTTCCAGTCACATATCTATAGTGATTTGCCTTATTTGGAAATTGTGACCACATTGCAATATTCAAGTTGATAGTATGTAGAGATAGTGTTTTTTGTTCTAACTAAACATTCTCTCACCCTGATGGTTAATAGTCCTAGTCAGATCAGATATTATCAATCACAGGGATCAACTAGCCTTAGGAACATAAGCAATGAGACCATTGAAGGTAGACAAATATGACTAGAACAAGAATAGAAGGTAGTACTTGTTATTGGATAAGCAGGTTTTGTACAAAGCTTATAAGTTTGGGGCTGATATCTAGATGACTGAAATGATATATTATACTGGAGCCATAATAATAAGATAATGATATTGTAATATAATATAATATAGAGTAAGTCTGCAAGGCAAGGCCTCTACTCCACAGGCACAACAACCCATAGGTAAACCCTTACCCAGGGATAAGGTATGGTGGCTGTGCAAGGTATGGTGGCTGTGCAGGTAGGGGGTATGGGCAGAGCCCATAATAGGGTTTACCCTGCAGTTGCCTAGGAATAAGCTGCTGTTGCATGTGCTGGAACATCTGGAAGGAAAACCTGTCAAACATCCTCCTAAGTATTGGTGACCTCTCCTCTCCACTGCATCCAGTTCTTGGACTGAGATGGACTTCTATCATCCACAGCGATTTTTTTTTACCCATTGTACTCTGGGCCTCCACCATGGGCCACCTGTAGCTGTAAGTTTTAGGCTAAAGGCCTATGTACAGCTAAACAGGTGCTTGATGGGCTTGGATCCTTTTAAGGGTCCTGCTGATGGTCTGGTTTACGCTATGGCTTGGGGCAAGATTTCCTTGGTCCTCGGAAGGAGCAAGCACGCGTGTACATTCGCCAAAATAACAACTTCTACTCTTCGTTTGCGCTGCGGTACTTCATGTTGATCTCGGGCAACATGAACAACTCCCCATCCGGCGCTGGCTCACGCCCGTCGATGCCCGCACCAAGCTCCTCCGCCGTGTGAGTGCACGCCGTGCCACCACACCCGGGACACCCACCGCCCTCCGCCGCCCAGCGCTTCTCGTTCGCCTCCAGCTTCGCCTTCTTCAGCGCGGTCATCCTGTCCCCCACGGCACGCGCAGGAGTACTGTCGATACCCAGCTGCGTGCAGTGCGCGACGAATGCGGCGGCATCGCGTTTGCGTAGTGTGATGAGGAATATTGCGTCGCTAGTGAGGTGGGTGGCAGCGCGCAGCTGCTTGATGGCTTTGCAGAGCGGTTTGTGGGGCAGCGCGGAGTCGGTCCATGCGGCACGCAGACACTGGGTTGGTTAGTACTGGCTCGGATGGGCCAACGGGGCTTACATCTTTCGAACAATATCGAACGACACCGCAGCCGGAACACACTTGGGTTGCGCGGTCCGTCGCCGCCCCGGGCCCGTCATGTGGACAATTAACAAAGAGACACTATATCGCATCAGCAAGTAGTACACTTTCTTGGTTTGTAAACGCACCTGGCTCCGCAGGCGCACCTCCGCCATCTCAACATACGCACCGTGATACGCTGCGATGGTCGGCGGCACCTCTGGCACGTTAATTGTGCCGTCCGGGCCGATGCTCGCGTTGAGACGGAGGACCATCTCGAAGAAGTCCACGCAGTCGGGCAGCTGGGCGTGGTGGCGGATCTCGCGCTTCACAACGGGCAGCAGTTTCCTGGCAGCTTTAGCCAGTATAGCGATGTTGTCGACGGTCCACTCCATCATGAAGGTGTGCTCGACACGCCGGAGTCCAGAGATGAAGCCGACGATGATCGAGACTAGGGGAGCCCACAGCGTGAAGCAGCGCTTGTTAAGCGGACCGGTGGTTTGCAAGCCGGGCTGCTCGGAGATGCGAACGATGTGCTGCAGGGCGAGCCGAAACACGAGCGGGACTTTGAAGACTGTCTCGGCGAACTTGGAGTGGAAGGTGGCGAATGCAGCGATTAGCGTGAACACCCCATAGCCCGCGGGGCGGGGGTTGAACCAGTTCTGGAGGGAGACGAGGACGGCGAACTCGGCGCCGGGAGTGTGGATGATGTCCTGTGCATTGCTGGGCCACGGCTGCTCATCGGGGGACAAGCCGGGGACGGTGTGCCGGTACTTCCCTGCTTCGCGGTGGTTCACAAAATTCGAAATCTGGCCACAGACCTCCCAGAGGAAAGCCCCGAGCATGTCGTCCATCGTGAGTGCCTCCACGGGCAGCCCATGGCAGTTCATCCGCCGGACACTCAGCGGGCACGTGCATGTCGTCAGCTTCGCGTACAGCGCGTGGAACTCGGGCTCCGTGCGCTGCTTAGTCAGCATCTGCACCAGCGCGCGTAGAAGCGGCGCGAACTTGGCCCGCCCGCCGGTGTCGAGCTGCAGAAAACATTGCTGTGAGACACCCTTCATCACGATCGCACAGCAGGAATCGGGCGCCATCGGGTCGCGCAGTGAGCGCAGAAGAAGCGCCATCTCGGCCTTGGGGACAGGGCGCGCCATCGATGTGGTGGCAAGAAGCAAAAGCGGATGTAAGCTGTGACCTGTTGATGTCACGGCACGTGGCCAAGGACGCATCTAGACCGCTGACTCAGCACATGCTTCTTCTTCCGTCTCTGCGACGTGGCGAGCGCTGAGACGATAGCACTGGGCTGGGATGCCTGCGTCAACCGCGTCAGGTATGCATCGGAGACATGTGGTGTGACGCTCATCGATATCACTGGAACTCCAGAAGCGCCACCAACGCGCCTGTAGCGCCACCCATTTTTCGAAGCCGCACGTTTCTCGGACATTTGGCCATCGGACATCGGCCGCTCCGCAAGGCTGTGCCTGAGGTAAGACAAGCGGCGATCGCGAAGGTGTCGATGGGCCTGCAAAATCAGTGGTAGACGTATCTGTCGTCGCAGAGGATAGATCGTCTCCAGCTGCGGGTGCGCTGGCGGTAGTCCAGACTGCAGAGTCTAGGGAGGCGACATTTGCAGCAAAGGCACTCGGAACTGGAACGCACATAAGTACATCACATCCGCTCACCCGGATACTCGTTACTTTTTATCTAGCATTTGCGCTGTCGCGGACCACGCTCACACGCACGCCAGCCAATGGGGAGCGCGCATCAGCCGTCGGCCGTCGCCACCTATCAGGCGCTCCCACCTTGGCCCCCCTTCAAGAAGCTGCTTGACAGACGCCACCATCACGAAGCCCTTCCACATGGTGATGCCCTTGTTTTCCCGTGGTCTCGGCTGCCGCCCAGAAGAAACATATTGCGCCCGCCGCTTGTGCTGACGGCCCTTTCTCTTCCTCCTCCCACCATCTCGCTCTCCTCTGTGCGTCCACGACCCCCTCGATACCCCAGACACCGACACCCACGACGGCACTAGATGTATTTGGAGGGGTGATGGATACTATTCTGGGCTCGATGGGCGCGGCGGAGGTGCAGCGGCAGATGTGCGTCGTCCGTCCTCCCTTTCCACTTTGCTCTCAGACCGCTCCATAGACACATCTACTACTACATCAACGCCGCCGCCTTCAGTGCGTCCTCCTCCCTCCCCCCTTCCACCGCTGACCAATTCGCCAGCGCTCCTCTTCTACGACTACCTTATCACGCTGGAATGGGAGGTCGCGCGCTACTGGGGCGCGGGCCGGACCTCGCCGACGCTGCTCTTCTTCGCCAACCGGTACGGCACGCTCCTCGGAAACATCCCCGTTGTGCTGCTCAACGTGTGGGTCGCCCCGCCCACGGACGCGAAGACGAGAGTGAGTGCCCAGGAATAGCCCGCGCGCTGCTAACAATCGACAGGTGTAAGCGCTATGCAACCGTGACGGGCAGCTGCTGACGCCAGCGCATCTTAGTTGCAATGCACTCGAATCATACCACCAGTATTTTATCATAGCGATCCAGATAATTGTCGGCAGTGCGTCCTACGTTTCTCCGCTTCGAACTCGGGCAACTGACGGCGCTCGCAGTTATGCTGATTCTCAGGACCTACGCACTCTACGAGCGGAGCCGGTATGTGTTGGGGTTCATGGTTGCTGCAAGTGCGGGTATCATTGCGGTCGGCGTGGTGTGTCCCTTGCCTTTTCCCTTCCAGCCGCGAACTAAACGAGCAGTGGGGCACTCTGCACTCCAGCGCGCTCCCAGAGTCTGATAAAGGCACCGCCATCCCGCTCCCGCTCGGCTGCACGTACGGAATCAAGAAGCGCGAGTGCGTTTCCATTTCCTTTGCTTCCGCCCCCTGTTTATCTCGCCCAGGAGCACGGGCCTGATGATCGCGTGGTCCGCAATGGGGCTCTTCGACGTCATGATATTCGTGCTCACCCTGGCGCGCACGCTCACGGGCGGGCGCCGCAGGATACCGCTCCGGGGGATGCACCTGATCAGCGTGCTCATGCGCGACGGTGCGTGATACCTGTTTATTGACTAGCTTGTTCGGCTCATTTCCCTGTCCCGAAGGATGCTTGTACTTTGGGTGAGTCGGGCGGATCCAGTCGGAGTCATTAACGGACGTCATGAATAGTGTCATGGTTCTGTGTAATGTCGGGAACATCTTGACGTTCGCTGTGCGTCCTTTCATGTCCTTCGTTTCGATTCAATTGCTAAATCATTATGTCAGCTGGGTCAGGTACACCGTCCTTTCACCGCCCATTTCTTGACCTTACCACCAACAGGACCTCACCCGCGGAATCCTCAACACACTGACCAACATGTACCTCCCTCTCCTTCTCTCCCTACGGTACTGACCATCCCACAGCGTCTCCTCGATAATGATCTCCCGCCTGATGCTCAACCTGCGCGACCCCGCCGTGCACCTCGCGCCCGCCTCCTCCCGCACGCGCATCGGCAAGCGCACCCACGGCCCGGGGTACCCGCCCGGCCCGGGCGTCAGCGCCGAATGGGGCGCGGGCGTGTTCTCGACCTACGTCGACCCCGACGACGACGCGCCGCGCGAGTACGAGTTCACGTGGGCCCCCGCGTCAGCGTCGGACCCGTCGGCGCAGACGTCGTTAGACGAGCGCTGGGCGTGAAAATGTGCATGTGCAATAACAAGTAAAATATACATATAAATATGGGTAGTGGGGCTGTGTGGACGCTGTATCCTTTATCTCTGTATTCCTAGCTGCGTTTCCAATTTCTATTTGATGTTAGAAACAAAATTCACAATCTCACCCTACCTTAGGGAGAAACCCGGGACTGCTTGCGAACGGCCCCTGGTTCAACATCAATCATTGCTGATCCTGACCGTCTCCGCACGTAGCTGGATTGGTTGTCCAAGTACCTAGTAGTACCTACTATTGACACTTCCAAGACATACTCTGTAAATATTATTCAAGTCAAGTCATGCTTAAAATGAAAAATTAAAATATGCGGTTACGTATTCAGACAATCAATCGGTGACACACACAGCCTCGTCACGGTCACCGTTAGCCGAGCAGCACTCACACGGCGACGACGACGTTCTCCCCTCATCCCGCGCAGCGTCCGGCAATGTGTTTTTCTTTCTGGCACGTTTGCTGACTTGCTTAGGGGATATACGAGGGCCGCTGCCAGTGTGTAGGTAGACCCTCAGAGCTCCACCGCCGTCCCTCCCGGGCCGCACAATCCGCCTTGCGTCAAGATGGGGGACTATATGCGCACAAGAGCGAGTCACTCTCTGCCCACGCACTGGGCGCATGGCTGATGTGTACCCGGCGCATTCCCGAAAAAACCAATAAGGTCAGGCGATACTATGTCGGGCCTTGTCGGCTGTGGAAATTGCTGGATCTTTGGCGACGCAACTTGAAGACAGATCCGAGTCCATGAACTTGGAGATTAACCTCGCTGCTGGCATCTCTCTGCTCTCCTTTGGCCGTCCGCGCCCTGTGTCTGGGGGCACAACGGGAAAGTATATATTCCACAAATGACTCGGAGCCTCGTGGTAGCACAGCGGCGCGGCGCCTTCCGGGCGACTTCTCACTGGCACTGCCCATAGCTCCCATTTGGGAGGGATGCGAGCCCATTTCTGGAGTTGCTGGACCCACAAGGTCGGCATTAGAGTCACTGGTCGCGCCACGTGTCTCCGGGTACATATATGCACAGACTGCCACTTCCCTCTATGACACTATGTCTCACCGCGCTCGCAGTGTACCTGCCCCCCGCCGGCGCCGTGCCGAATTGCGGTGGCCCACCGAATGCAAGATCTTCCTCGGCCATGTCACCTCGGACCGCGACGGATTACGGGTCACCGGCCTCCGGCTTGCCGCCCACGATTGGGAGCACGTCTACATCGATGACGGGAGCGAGTCCGGCATGGTGGAGGCGGTGAACATCCCCTGCCGCCATCCGGTCCGCACCGCCCTCTATATACCGCGCTCACTCGATGACCTCTCCCACCGTCGGCTTCTGCTGCGGCCCGACGACGTCTGGCTCGGTATCCTCCTGCAGTTAGCTGCCATCACCCGCCGCGAACGAGTGGACCGCGGCATTCCACCCATGGTGGCGCGGTTGTCAAACGTCTCCGACCTCTCCATCGACAACAATAATCTACCCCGCCTGCTAAAGGGAGTTGCGGCCGCCACCACCTGCCGGCCGCGAGAGGACATGTGACATTTTATGGCGGTTGTTGGACTCGTGGGCGACACAGGGCACGACAAGCACGACGCGGAGGACCGACGAGTTCGCGCGTGCGGTTGTGCGGCTTTCTGGCTGCACCGAGGTGCAGCACAGCCCCCTCCAAAGCGGTAACAATGCCAAAGACGCGGACAGCGCCCTGGTGCCGCGGCTGAGAGGAACGTCTCGAGATTGGAACCACCTGTCATCGCTCGTCACCCTCGCAAACACCGTTGACGGCCCGTCTATGAGGCTGATGCGCGACCACCGCGCCTGGTTCCGCACTGTGTCCCAAGTCCTTGGCGAGCTCGCCACCATGTCGGAGTACCAAGCGGCAGGCGACTTCCACGCAGTCGAACGCGTCTGGAGGAGCGAGCGCATGACGGCTCCTTTTGAGCAGCTCTTTGGCACACCGCACCGCTCGGGTTTGTCAGATTCCCGACCAGCGGACAGTGTCGAGGTCCGCATCGAAGTGCCGACCGAAGGGGCGAATTCGCACAGCGCCCGTCCCCGCACATGCACATACGCGGTCGGTGCCGGGCTGCTGGGCCTGCGGCAGTCGACGCCGCTCAGCACGCGATCGCCTATCACGGGACTGTGGATCAAGGTCCCCAAGGAGCCTCCGCGCGACTGGAATGACGCGAAGGCGTTGAAATACACTGTGGTTGGCCGATCAGAGGCGGATAGCCTCGATCACATCCATCGAAACCCATTCAGGCCCCTGGATGATTCAGATACCGTGAGAAGCAAGGGAATGTCAAGATTAAAACTTTGGCTGTAGTTTTCTAGGCCTCAACACAATACAATATTAGCAACCATGCTTCCTACCGTCATCAAGCAAAACCCACTGTATTAAAGGGGGAGCACAACATAGCCAATGTAGCACGCCCCCATTTGATTTGTATAAATTGAGATATGAGGTACATTATGTGTTACACTTTCTAGGCTCACCATGGATTACAGTGGTACATTTGATCCTATCATAAATTTGATTATATCATCAACATCCACCACATCACACCAACCAACCCCAAACAATAGCCTTACCATATTTGGTAAGATGATATGATCCATCTCAATCCATCAATGACTCAGACTGAGTCATATCAATCTGAGTCAGAGTGTGTCATAACATGAGTCAGCATGAGTCGGTATGAGTCAGAGTGAGTCAGTATTGGTCAGCCTGGAATTAGTATATACAGTTGCGGCAAGATTAAATCCATTGTCCCATACACTCCAATGTGTCAAAATGGCAGATGGGAAAGTGGATTTGATATAAGGAGGATGCTGGTGGCCTTCTGCCCTAGCGATTTTACACCCCTTCCAATGTATGTAGGTAGGTTGTGGAGTAGTTTCATCACTCAAACTTGTTGACAATTGTTGTTAAAATTCTCTTTTCCAGGCTCTTCTGCTCCACCTTTGGGACCGTTTAGGGTGTCACACGAAAATTCAAATCAAAAGTGCTAGACACACATCAATAACTATAAGTAACAAAACTACTTCATAACCCACTCTCTTTTTCCTCCTACTGTAAGGGCAACCCCGGAGGCCTGAGATCAAGGTCCTAGCAGGGGAGGATCCAAAGAAAAGAAACTCTAAGGGTCCACCTGCTGGCAGCTGACTATATACTGCTTGTCCATAGCTGCCACTATCTGGCAGAGAAGGTTGACGAGCCGCCGAGGCTCATCAGGCTGATTAGTCAGCATTGATCCATCGGTCCTGCCTTTCCGGACTTGTTCCTAGTTCCTGTTCCTGGTATTGAGTTCTCTCCTGTATGCTTTTAGTATAAAAAGGCATGTAGTAGAGTAGTGCACATCTTGTATCTACAATATGAGAGCATCCATTTGACTATTCACTCATGTGCATAACATCAGTATTGTCAGGGGAGCCTCCCTTTCAGCTCCTTGGAGACAGTTGTGATTCCGGTCTCAATTCTGGTCTGGCCCTCCATCTTGCCCGTACAATCACCGATCTGTCAACGCCCTCCCAACAGTTGCCCTGGGACCTCACATGTGACACTGCCCAGACCTTGACGAGCCGCCGAGGCTCATCAGGCTGATTAGTCAGCATTGATCCATCGGTCCCGCCTTTCCGGACTTGTTTCTAGTTCCTGTTCCTGGTATTAAGTTCTCTCCTGTATGCTTTTAGTATAAAAAGGCATGTAGTAGAGTAGTTATGATCATCATATTCCTTTTTCTTCTCCCTCTCTGGTTGTGCTGTAGCCTTTGGTTGCAGTTAGAGCAGTTTGAAGGGCTCTTGCTTTTCTTGTTCTTTCTCACACCAGTGAGAAAGCTTGTCATTTTAGAGCCCACCGCAAGGGTACTTCAAAAATTGCATCCGACGCACCACCTGGTTCACAGCACAGCTACGTAACAACAGTCCAAATCAATTCCATTACTCTCCTCTACGACAGTCTATACCTATCCTCCACATTCGACACCCTGACAGTTCCCCTGATCTATCCTTCCACACCAGTTCCTTGCCCACTTCAGCACACCCTCCTCACGCCTCACTCCTCGCCCCTTGCTCCTCGCGCTTCGCCTCACCTTGCTTGCCATGCCAACAACCTCCGCTCCCATTCCCACTCCCACTCCCATCCCGATGCCCACACGCGGCGCCTTGACCGCACCAACTTTTGACTCCTCGAAGCCCACAGAGCTGCGGCGCTATTTCGCGGATGTCGAGTACCTTCTGGAGCTGGCACAAATCAGCGAAACACAACAACAGAAAAGAGCTTGTGCACAATACCTATCGATGGCAGACCAAGAACTTGTTGAAGGGATTGATGAGTTTGCCAACACAGCAGCCACCTACGACGACTTCAAAATTGCTGTCCGACAGCTGTACACTGGCAACGACAAGGATAGTCTCTACACACTGAAAGACTGGAACACGCACCTGAGTTCCACAGCCGCTGCATCTACTGTGAAAACGACCTTGCCACCTTCTATCGAACGTTTGTTCGCATTGCCCAGTTCCTCATCTCGAAAAACCGCCTCTCTGAGTCTGAACAGAGTCGCACTTTCCTTTGCGCACTCCAAACCGCTTTGCTCCAAGCCTCCGTGAAGCAATAGCTTCCAATCTTGCGCCCGAACATCCACCGTGACGAGCCATACGACGTGAAGGACGGGTACGACGCCACAAAATTCGTGCTTGCGGGGTCGTCTTTGCTTCCGGAGCACCCACCGCCTTCCCAGCTTGCTTTTGAGAGCCCGCTAAGTCCCAAAAGGCCGCAATCCTCCAGTCAACTCGAAACAGACTTGAAAGCATTACTCACCTCGGTTAATGCGCTCGTTGCTCTCCTCGACAGCCAGACACGCGAGTCCGCTGCCCCACCTCCCGTCCAAACGTTCCTCCACTTCATCCCAAGCCCCCTGCCCTTCCAGCGGCCGCCCAGTTGTCGTATTGCAGCAGAAAGTCGCATTTCATCCGGGACTGT